ATAACGAATTTTTTTTTTTTTTGAAGTGTTGAAGTGTCAATTTGAAGTGTTCCCAATGTTACAAAATCTGAACCACCAGAAATCCTTACAGCTGAGCTCTGTAAGTACAGAAATAATCCTCGACCTCCAAGATGTAATATGATGTTTTTATGACCGGGCATGTTCATGCACAACCCCTCTGTGCTGCGTTGAGTCATGAATCACTAAAAAACATTAAAAGTGAGCTAGTGTAATGGCAATAATTAGGTCAATTTTCCATTCACATCATGAGCCAATTATAACATGCTTTAGATTTAAAATGACTGCAAAAAGACTTTTACAATGGAGGCACACTATAAAAATCATGTGCCAGAGGAGTCACTGCACTCCGCTCATGCAAATGCATTCTGTAACTAGTAAAACAGTCATTGCAGTGAGCCTGAATGTATCGATTTGCGATGATGTTTACATAAGTTGCATGCATGGTCATTGGCGTCATGCTCTGCATAAATTAAGAGAAGTTCAATTAGTTACGACATCTCTAGATGTGCATGCAAGCAAGAAAAAAAAAATCATCCAAGCTCCCACAAACAAACACAAGTGAATGTGCTCAAGCTGCGTACTATGAATACATGAATACTAAAGAATGACAAATTAGAGTCAAGACCACACAACACACCAGATGGAGTTAGTCTGAAACAGGAGTGAAATAGTCTATCATAAGTCAGGCTTTGACTGCACTGGAAACATTAACTATGACAAACAGGGGACTCCAGTCCCTGCTGAACTGATAATGGTGGCACTGAGATGTTAATAAGAGTAATCTGCATGTGCCCTGCATTCACTCATCCCATAGTCACAGATGGGCTTGCCTTTAATGTGTGCCCAGATGACAAGAAAATAATTTAAGCCAAAATACCCGAAAAGCCAAAAGCATGCAGCCGAGACCGGAAGCACTCCAGCATGTTAACAACACACAAGCCTCTTCATCCATCCTCCCCAGACTGTGTACAATTTTTATGTCTTTTGCGCCATGTTTCTTATATTTTTTTCCCCAAGCAACCTTGACTTTCACAGAGAAACTTCATAAAAAATTAGACGCTTTGAGACAGAAGAACATTTTGCTGCTGTCACTGACTGAGAAACAAACAGAGTTTATGGACATGTGGAGAGCTTGTTGTGAAACATTTTATACTGTTCTGTAGGTTAATTCGCATGAAACCTGTCAAGAACACGTCAAGGTCATATTTCACACCAAATCAAAACAAACAAATAAATAAATTACTCCAGTATTTAGTGTCACATGATCCTTCAAAAATCATTCTAATATCCTGATTTGGTGCTCAAGAAATACTCCTTATTATCAATGCTGAAAACAGTTCTGCTGCTTAATATTTTTAAAGAAAACCATGATATCGTTTGATGAACAGGAAGTACAGCATTTATTTGAAAAACAAATCTTTTGTAACACTGTAAAAACACTTTACTTTAGATCAATTAAATGTTTCCATGCTGAATACTAACCCAAAACTTATGAACAGTAGTGTATAAAAATATTTTGTCACCATTGAGAATGAACATAATCACTGTCACAATACAGAAATGAGATGTTGTGGGAAAATATGCTTAATTGCAGTATTATTTTACTTTGATAGAGAAAAAACTACTGTATTACAGTAATGAATATTTAATGAGAATTACCATCTAGACACATTAAGGCAGCTTACATATTATATAATTAAAAATTAATTTAATTAAAATTAATATTAATATATTCTTAATTGTAATATTATTTAGTATTAATTATTGTTTTAATTATCTAACTACATTAAAATGCTAAAAACAGAATCAAGACATAAAATGAAAACATATTTCTTTTTTCCCTCAATAACTACTGACGTTTCTAGAATCACAAAATGAATTGTGATAATCAATATACCTATATTAACATATATACCCATTTCCCAGTTTTTGTTAATAATATAGTTAAATGTAATATATAATTGAAGCCCCCCTACATAGCATAATATTAACAGAACTATATTACACTATGTAGGGGGGCATCAGGTCAAAAAAGGTTGAGAACCTCTGCATTATGGTAATGAGAATTCGGTGAGAAACTTGTGTTTAATTTAATAACTTAATTAGTTCCGTTTAATGTCACAATCAAAAAGATCCCTGTGACTTTGGGGTGAAAAGTGATCTACACCTTATCTCTGTGTAGTACATACAATAGCTGTGTTATCATGAAAAGACATATGAATAGATTCGTTCACATGACGTGTCAGTGCTGGTTAAAATGGCTCTGCTTTGAGTGCCTGTCTACCAACCAATCCAAAGCATTTCTCAGCATCTAAGCGAAGCCTGTCAGGGTGAGCTCGCCATTACATCGTGACAAAGCGTCAGCATCCCCTTTCGCCACCAGTGTGAGCCAACGTGTGGCACAAGCTCTCGAAGGTTCATGCAAGTTATTTTTAATGCACTATTCCGCAGTCCCTACACTGATCGCCCTTGAGCAAAAGCTGCCAATGTGGCAAAACTACTCGCAATGACAAAGGACAAAAACTCCCTTGAGAGTTCCCTCTGAGGTGTCTGAGACAAGTCGGTGGGAAGGAAATAACTTTGACGCAACATCATGCGCAGGGAGACAGCGGAAACCTCTGGACCTACTCATGGCGACAGATGCAAACACGCATCCGCAATTAATATTCATTATGATAGTTAGCCTAGTTTCTACGCCATTCGCTCAGTCAGAATCAACCAGGCCCTGAACTGCAAGCACAGTCAGCAAAAAAGTCTCGGGTCACACCGGCTAAATATATCTCAGTCAGAATTTCCCATACTACTGCAAATGTCTCTCTCCTTCAGAAACATGCTCATAACATTCAATGGGGAAAAAATCAATCCATACGCTGTGCACTTTGAATTCAGCACAGAAATGAACCCACGTGCTTCAAGGCCTACAACACTCAACGAAAGCTCCCAGCCGAATGGATGTTGATTCATCAATAGATTGCCAATGCAAAAGGTCATCCCATTTCCCATAATGGCATTTCCTGCTCAAAAATGGACCGTGGGCCTGAGAAGAACCTGCAAGAATCAGTTCAGCAAGATTATATGGATTAGAAGGGGTACTAAAGAAAAAGGGCACGGTACTCACCAGAGTTGCAGAAAGTTGTGGATCTCAGGACATAAATGGAAAGATTGGACAGACGAAGAGGGGAAGAGAGCGCAGCTGTGTCGCTGTGCGGATCAGTTCATCAGCCTTTAGACTTCTTTCCAGGTTGATAACCGGCCCATTCTGCAGGCAAAAGGGCAAATCAAAACAACACACTGTGTCGTCATGTCAGTTTATGCCACGTTTGTCAGTCACGCGAGGCTGCCATACGTTACACCTTCACCACATCTCTGTGTAGCGAAAGGGGGTTTGCCTCAAGAGCACGGGTGAAATCACACAAGCCATATGTGCGCTGATTTACTTATCTCATGGTTAACTGAATCTTTCATCAGGAACAAAAAAAAAAAGGCCAAAAACATCGGCTTCTATTTAATGTCAAACATGTCTGTGAATTTTTAACCAAAAAATGTGTTTTGAGATTTATAAAATGGTGTCACTAACCAGAGAGGGATCCCAGAAGTCTCTTGGGTTTTCTCTTCCAGGTCATGTGACCACGTGCTGCCACACTTCCAGAAGACTTGAGAGAGTTCTGTCTGTCCAGTGTACCTCACCTTTTAAAAAGATGTAGAGGTGTGAGGAAACACACAAAAAACAAAAATCCATGTATTTACCGATTTCATTACAATTGAATGAAATCGATGCATTACCCTGAGCAACTCCTTACCGTTTCTTTGTACAGGAGGTTTATTTTTAAATTTGTATTTAAAGGTTTTCTTCTGCTCTTCCAAACCAAGATTCTGCAAGAAAGACAGGGAAAAATATTTGCATATTATTTTAAGTAATAACTAAATGTTGGAGTTCAGTTCCATTCAATTGTGTCTTTAACAATACATATTTGACTAAAAATATTTCTGGTAAAATATTATTTAAAAATATAATACATTGTAAACACAGTGTCACATGTTATGTGAATTTTTACATTGGTTTGAGCAGATGTTATCTTTGTCATGCCCTTGGGTGACTCAAAAAACAAGAGGGGCTTTATTTGGACATATTTCAGATTAAATTTTCTACGAGAAATGTTTCAAATCAAATATGCAGAAATTGGTATATTAAATTTAATACAAACAAATAAAAAATATTGTTTAGTATTATAATAATGCTTATATTATTGTATAATAGCATAGCCTGATCTCGAAGTTAATACTGTAATTTATAGAAATAAATCCATACATTACAACACAAGTTACAGGAGCTCAAAAGGCAATACATAACAGGAATGGTCTGTACTGATTGTTCCAGATTTTCATTCTATGTCTCACATAGAAAATTGCATAATATGAGCTTGCAGAAAAGTTTAGATTTTTTGATACATATTATTGTAATTATGACCATCTCTTACATCAGTGACTGCACTGCCAAATACAGTCTTCAACTCTAAGCAATGAGAAATTCCTTCAAAAAGACAAGGAGACGTTTATCAGTAAATGAACGTCTGTCTGTGTGAAAAGTGCTCCCTCTAATGGTCATCTTTTGCATTGTTTGACAAGACTGTGATGAATGTGTTCTCTGGCTCGGTGTGACATAAGAGTTTATCAAATATCTATTGAAAAACTGAAAGCTCAGACTTAATTTTGATCGGATGAGCTGCCTTCAAACTGCGGTAAAATGTCATAAACGCACATTCTATATTAATTTAGCATGTTACTACATTAATCAGAGTTTCAGTCTTATTACCACAGGATCAAACAACAGTATAACTAGTAAGATATATTCGGCCTGACAAGCCATGGTAGAGAAGGAAAGCCATTAAAATATCCCCTAAACCAGGGCTGTCCAAACTCGGTCCTGGAGGGCCGGTGTCCTGCAGAGTTTAGCTCCAACCCTAATTAAACACACCTAAACCAGCTAATCAAGCTCTTACTAGGCATAGAAACTTCCAGTCAGGTGTGTTGAGGCAAGCTGGAGCTAAACTCTGCAGGACACCGGCCCTCCAGGACCGAGTTTGGACAGCCCTGCCCTAAACAGTATATCAAAAATGCTGAACCTTGACCTGTCTCAGTGTACTGAAAAACAACCTGCAGTACTTAGGAAATACTGCCATCTACTGGCAAAATCAACTACTGACACCTCCTGTCAATCATTTTCCAGTTTGATGACCATTCTGGAAAAAAGGGGACATGAGGACATCTCCACATGTAATGTGTTGGCAGAAGAAAATTGCCAAGTCTGGACTCAGCTGGTCCGAAAACCAATCTCCAGGACCGAGTTTGGACAGCCCTGCCCTAAACAGTATATCAAAAATGCTGAACCTTGACCTGTCTCAGTGTACTGAAAAACAACCTGCAGTACTTAGGAAATACTGCCATCTACTGGCAAAATCAACTACTGACACCTCCTGTCAATCATTTTCCAGTTTGATGACCATTCTGTAAAAAAGGGGACATGAGGACGTCTCCACATGTAATGTGTTGGCAGAAGAAAATTGCCAAGTCTGGACTCAGCTGGTCCGAAAACCAATTTAGCCAATTTATTTAGGGGCTTCAAGCGGATACAGATAAAACACTTCGGCCTTCAGCCTGCGAGCGATTGTGCAAACCAGAAGTTAATCAGTTCCTCTAAAGGCGCTTACAATCTGATCTCCTGTTTGACATGGAGCCACTTCAGAGGGTCCCTGAGATGAAATTCTATAATGATGTAGACGAAATTCAGCACAAGGGCTCGACACACAAATCACACTGTATTAATGTTTAATGATCTTTAAAAGCTTATATTCCTTTTTTTTCTCAGGGTCCCGCATCCCAGCATTTACAGATTATCACCTGACCCCTACTCAAGGACTGTCCCAATGCGATGGCAAACACACATCAGTGAGATTAAAGATCTCTGTTGTGATGGCGGTTACAGTGCTCAAAAGATCCATAAAACCGTCTCGGGTTACACATGTACCCATGGTTCCCCGAGAGGGAACGAGACGCTGCGCCCCCTAGGAGGCTGCATTCCCCATTGTGCCCCCTAGGGGGCGCAGCGTTGGGTCCCTAGAAGGGGAACGTCTTGGGTTACATATGTAACCATAGTTCCCCGAGAGGGAACAAGACGCTGCGCCCTCTAGAGGGCACATTGGTGAATGCAGCCTCCTAGGGGGCGCAGCGTTGAGTTCCCTAGAAGGGGAAACATAAGTTATCTCCTTATGACACAGCCCAGAGAGCCAACCATATTCACGCTAGGCACGTGCACTAGTCCTCACCATCATCCAGGTACATATTTAACAAGGCCGCTGGACTCCTTTGTTAAATATTATGCACGGTGACTGAAGCAGAAATGATATCAAAAGAAACACATATGGCATACGCGTGTTTACATTTGCTTTTCCTAGTGGCGATATTTCCTATGAACTGTCTTTATAATATATTTACAATTTTTCCAATACTGTAGCAGTCACTCAAATCTTTTTTTCTACCATCAATGAAATATTAATAAGATCTAAACTATTTATATTGTGAGCATTAATAATGAATTACAGCCCTTTCAACATTGTGCTTCAAAACGTAATATCAAGCCAGAGAGGAAAGCAGATATTTTTCCATTTTCATTCAGCCGGGGGCTTATAAATTAAGAGGGTCCATGCTTTGCAACATATTGTAAAAGCACCTAATGCATTAATCAAATAAGTAAATTTTTGTGGGCGCTCAGAAGGCAATAAAGCCAGAGCAGCACAAAACAGCGCTATTGAAATGTGTTTAAGCGTTTCATTATTTTCATTTACTAATAAATAAATGAATCAACTTGGAGACACTTCACTGGCTGTAAAATTGTAGAATCAAATGACATTTTCATGGAGACGTTAAAAGGGGGAAGATCTCCACAGGACCCTTAACCCTGTCATGGAAAGAGTCAGCTCACTTCTGCTGGTGTGCAATTTCATTAACACTTACATGCAGGTAGTCACTGATTTGCAAAGGAATCTCTCTGAAATGCAGGTCTAATCAATCAAACGTCTCCATTAATTTCAGCCGGGGCTGTCGCTTGAATTCACAGGTCCTCGGATGAAATTTTTATGGGTGGACCAAAGGAGGTTTATAATACCTGAAGAAAGCTTTCCGTTAGCTTTCCCATTCATCTCAATGACAGATGTTTGGCTGGTGCAAGACCCCCCGGAAGTATGCAATGAATGGCCGTCAATGGAAAAATATGTAGATACAGCATCTACTAATATAATAACCATTTTAATTATATGTGATTATATGGTTAGTTGGGTATTATTATTTGCATTGTTTTACCCCACCAGTTGAGAAGTACTAAACTATACCATTTAGCAGTGGTTCTCAAATGGTTCTGCTAAATTTCTGTAAAATTCAACATTAAATATTTAATTAAACATATTATTATTATTATTATTATTATTATTATTGAAGAATCTAAATAATATATAATAAAATTATTAATATAAATTATATAAATATGTATATATAAATTGTTTTAAAGATATAAACTTAATACAAATATTTTAATATTTTGTACAATTCAACATTAAATATATGATGATGCTGATGATGATGATGATAAAGAAAAATCTAAATAATTTACATTTGTACATTAAATATTTAATTAAATATAGTATGAAGAAGTTACATATTTACATAATGTACACTTTTTATATTAACATAATAAAAATAATAATATTTTTTTTTTAATAAAAAATAACATTTTATAAAATGTATATTATTCTTATATTTCCCTGATCTCTGTGACACAGGCAAAACAGACCTTTGCCCCATTTTTGGATCTCGACCCACAAATGGAGAAATACTGCTGTATAAGGCCTTAACGGACCCCCCTCGTCATAGCTTTCCCCCCAGATGACAGACCTGATTTAAAATAAAATAAAATAAAAAGAGAACATAAAATCCACACAGAGTCAACCAGGAAGAAAAATAGACAGTAAATAAGATGTTATTTTGATATATTACTGGATCAATTTCAATCACAGTATTTAGCTGACACAAAACAACTTCTCAGTTGAACAATCACTTTTTTGTGATACCGGGACTATACATCAAGTGTAAATTCTCCCAGAAATATTACAATTGTTGCTAACTGTATGCCACCATGCAATGAAGAAAACACTGATGAACGCGTTTTTTTTGACCATGCAATGAAAATAATGCGGGCGTGATGTGTGAGACAGTTTGGCGGTTTGCTTTCTCATGACAAGATGCTTTGAAAGTCAGTTTGAAAAGTTGAGCAAGGTTTAACAGCGAGCTGCAGTTTCAGCAGCCCGAGCACAGCTAATGGAGTCGACCAAGTGCGGAGGGATTACACAGGAACAAAACAAGTCAAGACGCAGTAAGCATAATGTTAGGAGAACTGCTTATGTGTAGAAACAGTCTGACAGGGCTGTGAGAGGCTGTCAGAGGCTGTCACTTACACACAAACACCCAGCAAAGGAGCTTATCGAGGAACCTTTAAAAGCATTTCATCAACACCAGCTTGTACGACTTTGCCACCTCTTCTCATTCTATGCAATACAAACCTGTTCAAAATGCAGATATTATTGCATAATCATGCCTTGAGTAACAAATATAGAATACAATATCGCTACTGTTCACACAAATGACTTTCTAGGTATTATAACTGTAAGATTCAGTAAACAAGAGACTTATTGTGTGGGTAAATGAAAAATAAAGGCACCTAAAAATGCATTCATGCTGGTTTCACTTATGAAGCACTGATAACAAATTCAATTTTGTTTTTTAATCTAATAACTTTAAATATGCCAAGTGATGTAACATTCAAG